ACCCCGTGTTCGGCGAGGCCGCCTCCGTGGAGCTGGTGAGGGGGAGGCCCGGGGGTCCCCCGAGCCCCGCCCTGACCCCTGACCCTGACCCTGCCCCTGCTCCCTTCCCGCAGCCGCCCAGCCTGGCCCTGGAGAGGGTCGACGCCCGCCAAAGCTACTTCGTCAACCCGCTCTTCACCTTCACCGCCGAGGCCGAGGCCCAGGCCTGACCGCGGCTGCCCCGCCCGCCTTCTGCCTGGCCCCCGACCTCTGCCCTCTGACCCCGACCTTCCCTGCTCTCTCCTTGGACCAAGAACCAATAAAGGGTTTTCTGTGGCTGGCGTGGCCGCGCCCTCTGAGCACTGGGCCGGGTGGTCTTCCCCCCGAGCGCTGCGTTCCAGGCCCGGCCCGCCACCCGCCGACCGCCCTGGGCGTGGTGGGCCACTGCGCCCTAAACCAGGCTTCGCTTTGGGTTCTCGGACCGAGCTGTCAGGGTCTCGGCGTCCTGAGGGAGCGGCTGGGACGCACGGACATGCTGTGACTTTCACGTCCATTTTGTGAATTCACCGCGTCCACCCCTGGCCTCCAGGTGGTACAGGCTCCATCTTAATGACTCGCTGGTGACTAACACAGCAGGGTCCAGAGGTTACCCGGAGGGTCAAAGCAAAGGGTGTCCCAGTGGGAGGCCAGATTAGATCTAGTCAGGTCGGAGGAGGGGCTTGGACGGCCTCCGGCTGGATTCCAGGCAGTGGCTGAGCCTCGGGTCTGGGTGCCTGTGGACCCTCGAGCGGATCCACCTCGCAGGTGATTCCCATGAGGGAGTTGGGGAAATTGCAGACAACTGGGGCGCCTGAGGTTTTTGTGATTGGACGTGTTTCCTAATGCAGTGGTTTCCCGGTGCTGACCGTTGTGAATGAGCCAAGTCATTCTGCCAGGGTTCGAACTAGAAACACACCCTGGTCCACACCTGTCGGAGCGTCAGATCTGGCTCCGATAGAGAAGGGAAAGATGGCAGGCTGCCTGGGGCTAGAGGACTCCAAAGGCCACGTGGGTGACCGGACAAGGCACATGGAAAGGGTTTTATACAGCTCTGCAAAGGCCTCCTGCTTTAAGAATTCATGGCAACAAGAATGTCCATTTGTAGGGCCTCTCAGCCTGTGTGTCTGATTACCTCCTACAATAGGGAAAATGTGGCTGTCAGTCCTCCCCTGGGATTCTGTCACCTGTGGCTTTAAGCCTTTCTCCTTGGCATTAGTTGAGGTCTGTGTCTTTGAGATATCAATTTTCTCCTACGATTCAAGGAAGAGTGGAACCTGGGGCGAGCCTGTAGGAGATTGGGATTGTGGGGTGCTGTGGAAGTAGTCAGATGCACAGGGAGTGGTGGGCCTGGATGCAGGCTGTGCAATCTTGGGAGTTTCTCTGGTCCACCTTCATGCCAGGCTGAGCGCAGGTCTGTGCACACCTGGATGCTGGGTTTCCCAGCATCACGAGCATCACATGGCTAATAAATCAAGCTGCCGCCCTCCTGCTCCTGTTTGACACTGGGGATCAAAGGCTGGGCTCTCTCTGACTTCAGCCGCCAGAGCTCTTCTGCACTGGGTGCCACAGTCCCATCTTAAATACTGCACCCAGAGACCCAAGGAACTTCCAGAACAAGCCAGCACCAGCACAATGCAAATCCAGCAACTTGTAATTTTTTTTTTAATTTTATTTTATTTGTGAACATACTGTACAGAGGGGTTACAATTGCATGGGCAGGATAATGCGTACATTTCTTACCAAGCATTGC